TGTAGTCCCAGCACTCGGGAGGCAGAGGCAGGCGGATCTCTGTGAGTTCAAGGCCAGCCTGGTCTATAGAGTGAGTTCCAGGACAGCTGGGGCTACAGGGAGACCCTGTCTCAAAAAGACAAAAACAGAAAACGATCTATACCAATTGTGATGAGACATGGCTCTAAAAAAAGAAAAGAAAGAGTCTGAGGCAGGAGGATTGCAAGTTTGAGGCTAGCCTTGGCTACATAGTGAAATCCTGTCTCAAAAGTAAACCCCCCCCAAAAAAAAAGAAAACAAAAGTGTATCTCTCTCATCTGTATCACAAGTGATTGTTAGTCTGGACTGTTTTGTACAGGGCATAGGGTTGAAAAATCTAAAAGATACCTTCCTGTGGAAACATTGTAAGTACCCTGATGCTGAGAAGTTTCAGGGTTTGGAATGAAACATCTCTGTCCCAGGATTGCCTTAAGGTGCCTGAATGAACATTTCAATTGTGTTTTGTTGTTTATTTTTGGAGTGCAAGGAATGGAACCTAGGAAAGATTTTTTTTCTTTTAATTTAACGTGTGTGTGTGTGCATGTATGCATGCATGTGGAGGTCAGAGGACATCCTGCAAGAGTCAGTTCTACCATGTTGGTCCAGAGATCAAACTCAGGTCTTCAGGCTTGGTGTCAAGTGCCTTTATCTGTTGAGCCATCTTATAGGTCCCTCAAAGATTTAAAGTAAATAAATAAATAAATACAGCATTTAAAGATGGCTCTCCCAGTACTTAGGAAAATGAGGCAAGAAGATTACCAGGATTTCAAGGCCAACTTGGGCTACATTAGACCCTGTCTCAACAAAAAAAGGAAAAAGGAAGTGGCAAGATGGCTTAATGGATAAACACATTTGCCACCAAGCCTGACCTGAGGTCAACCTGCAGATCCTTCTTGGTAGTAGGAGAAACAAGTTGCCCTCTGACCTCCATATGCACTCTATGACAGGTGTGCACCCACGTATATGCTCACAAAAGCTTAAAAAATAAAAGGTTTAAAAAACTCACAAAACAAAAAATGACAGCATTTTAGAATCTAAAGGGATCTTGGGCTGGCATGATGGTACATAGTTGCAATGTTAAGAGGCAAGTTTGAGGACAGCTTGAACTACATAGTGAGGCCCTGTCTCAGAACTAACAAAAACAAAAGGCCTTGGGGGCTTCAGAGTTGGCTTGGCAATTAAGAGCACTGACTGTTCTTGTAGAGGACCCCAGTTGGGTTCTTTTTTTAAAAAATATTTATTATTTCTATTTTATGTGTATGAGTGTATTGCCTGCATGTAGGTAAGTGTACCCATGTCATGCAGTGTCCTCGGAGGACAGAAGAGACTGTTGGATCCCCTGAAATTAGAGTTACAGAGAGTTGTTAGCTGCCATGTGGGTGCTGGAGTTAGAACCCGGGTCTTCTGCAAGAATAGCCAGTGTTCTTAAACACTGAGCCATCTCATCTCTCCAGCCCCCCTAGTTGGGTTCTTAACACCCACATAGTGGCTAACAGTTGTCCATAACTCCAGTTTCAGGGGATCTGATGACCTCTTCTGGTCTCCTCAGGCATTACATAACACAGGTGCACTTAACGTACATGCAGGCAAAACATCCATATAGATAAAATAAAAATAACTAATATTAAAAAGAAATACCAAAAGACCTTGGAATGCATATAGTTTACCTCTGCCCATTTTATAGGTTAAGAAACTGGGGTCCTGGCTGGGCGTGGTTCACATGTTTTTAATCCCAGCACTTGGAAGGCAGAGGCAGGCGTATCTGTGAGTTCAAGGCCAACATGGTTTACATAGTAAGTTCCAGGCTAGCTGGGGCTAGAGGGAGACTCCATCTCAAAAAGACCAAACAGAAAAAGAAAAAAAAAAAGAAACTGCAGTCCAGAGAAGCCACAGATCCAAAGGTTCTGAATTTAGTGGCAAAACTAGACCTATAAT